ACCAATTAGAACTGAATTGAGCAACGAGAAAACCAAAAATAGGTTCCAAGAACAACTGAGTTCACACTTAAGTAGTTCTGAACACGAGGCTGACCCAGATGTTGCTTGGAAAGACATACAAGCAGCTGTGGAAGCAGCAGTGACATCTATTAGCAACTTAAACCACAGAGTTTCAAAGAACCAGTGGATTTCTTCAAAGTCTATCACACTGATGGATTCTCGCAAATTTGTCCCATCAGGTTCCGAACATGATGAAGAGCGACAACAAATCAGATCTAGGTTAAGAAAAAGTTTAAGAAACGACCGTGAGCAGTGGTGGGCAACGAAAGCAAAAGAGATGGAAAAGGCGGCGACTATAGGGAACACAAGACAACTTTACAGACTAATAAAAGAAACTGGAATTAATAAGTCAAGTGTAAGTGAGATTATATCGGAAAAAGACGATACTCTCATCTATTCCCAGTCCAGACGTTTAGAACGATGGGCGGAACACTTTAGGGAACAGTTCAGCTGGCCTTCAGCGACTCTACAACTACCCTCCATTCCCAGACAGCGTGAATGGAACATTGAAGTAGGTCCCCCAACTCTTGCTGAAGTTCAAAAGGCTATAGATAATCTGAAACGAGGACGGGCAGCTGGACCAGATGGACTGGTTCCAGAAGTCTTTAAAGATGGTGGTCCAATTTTAGCGATTAGGTTGACTAATATTTTAGCTAAGATCTGGGAGTTAGACGTTATTCCATCTGACTGATCACAATCACTTATCGTCCCAATATATAAGAAAGGGTCAAAATCATCCTGTGACAACCACAGAGGGATTAGTTTAACTAATATAATATCTAAAATACTAGCCTCGATAATTATCAGACGCCTAACTAAGACTCGTGAACTGCAAACACGAGAAAACCAAGCTGGTTTCAGACCTGGTCGTGGCTGCATCGACCACATATTCACCATTCGTCAGGTTCTAGAACACAGGCACACTTATCGGCGTCCGACGATGGTGGTCTTTCTTGACTTAAAAGCAGCATTTGACTCGGTAGACCGCGAGGTTCTGTGGCAGTGTCTGTCATTGAAAGGCGTACCTCAGAAGTACATAAACCTTGTGAAGGCTCTTTACTCGAACACTACTAGTCGAGTGAGAGCTTATGGCGAACAGTCATCTACTTTTGCAACCTCAAGTGGTGTCCGTCAAGGCTGTCCACTTTCTCCATTTTTGTTTAACTTCATCATAGACCTACTGATGGAAATAACTTTCTCGTCGACTGAGTTCTCGGGTATTGATCTCTTTCCAGCAGGTCCACTTATCGACTTAGAATACGCAGATGACATAGTCCTGTTTGGTGAAGACGCTGACAAAATGCAAAGTCTTCTGGTAGCACTGAGCAACAATGCCAGAATGTTTGGAATGCGCTTCTCTCCCTCGAAATGCAAGTTGTTGCTTCAGGACTGGTCTGCGTTAACACCTGAACTAAGGATAGGGAGTGAAGTAGTCGAACGCGTTGACAACTTCACTTATCTTGGAAGTCTGATCAGCCCTAATGGGTTGGTATCGGACGAAATCTCAGCACGGATTCGAAAAGCTCGTTTGGCTTTTGCCAACTTACGTCACCTGTGGCGAAGGCGAGATATCCGTCTATCAATAAAAGGACGAGTATACTGCGCGGCAGTCCGTTCTGTTTTACTTTACGGTAGCGAAACATGGCCATTAAGAGTAGAAGACACTCGCAAGCTGCTAGTATTCGACCACAGATGCCTTAGAAATATTGCTGGCGTCTGCTGGGATAATCGGGTAAGTAATAATGAGGTTAGACGCAGGGTATTAGGAAAGGATGGTAAATCAGTTGATGAGGTTATGAATCTTCATCGACTGAGATGGTTGGGCCACGTGTTACGTATGCCTGAACACCGATTACCACGACGTGCAATGCTATCCGGTGTTGGGGATGGTTGGAAGAAAGTTAGGGGCGGCCAAACCAAAACGTGGCATCAGTGCTTGAAGTCACTAACTTCTAGTCTGAGCCATGTTGGTAGATGCAGACTACTTGGTTGGGGTCCGCGTGACTATCGTAACCAATGGTTGGAGACTCTTGGTGACATGGCTCAGAATCGATCACAATGGCGTCGGTGTATACACTCGGTTTCTTCCCTTAAACTAAGAGATTTAAAGCGCTTCATATCTTTCTTTCTACTAACCAATTCTTTCTTCTTGTACTATATCTCTATATGCAATCTTTCTCTTATATATTACCACCTTTTACCTAACCACTGTTATGAATCCGGTGTTCATCTTGTTGTGCTGATGCGGTATGGCAACCTGGACCGATGCACATAAGTGCATGGTTCTACGTTGTAGCTGACTGACTGACTGACTAAAAACGAATCTTAAACATTAAGGGTAGACACTAGACAGCTGGAATCGGATAACTTGTTCCGTATGAATAATAAACACAATAACAAACTAATTAATTTTAGGATTAAACTGAAAATATTTCAACAACTGACTGGTACAGGTATTTCAAACACGTAGGAAGTTAGATGTGACTGAGCAATATAAGTAGCAAAGTTTATTTTTGTGGCATTAAAGACACTAGACTCAAATGTCAGGATTGTGAATTCCTCTGGGAAATGCCAAAAACCAAGGGATATAAATAGTGCAGGAATTCTTGTTTGTAGCTCCAGTAACCAAGTATATATTTATGTACTAAGATTTAGGACATTATTACGACGCTAGAAAGAAAATGAAGTGAATTTCGAACTTTAGCCAGTCAATCACGTGCAACGTAGAATATGGAACACACGCATCCGTATAAGAAGACTTCGAGACTCAAGTTTCAATGAAAAAAAAGGAGAGTGGATGAACCTAAAGCATTGACAACAATTCTGAGCCATGTTTCCAAAGTTTGTCGACAAGTTTCGAACCTAAGCACCACTAGTTGAAATTCACTTCACCGTAAATTTAACGATTTGTACTAAATATCTTAGAAAAATTAATTGAAAAAAGGTTAGCAATGTAAACGTTTGTGCCAATATATCTATGGTACTTTAATTTAAGTAAATTAATTAAATAATTCACCTCAGATAAAAAGTCTATTGAAATAACAAATAGTGTCTACCACTCTATTTGTTTACGTGAACAATATGCACATAAGTGAACAACAATATCGCTTTTGTCAAATAAGATCGATAGCACTGTTTTGCATTAGTAATTTAACATAATTAAATAAGTGGCACACAAAATACTGATTTTAATATTGATATATTACATTTTATAAAGAGAAAAATATTAAAGCCTTTATGTTATTACAATTTATCAAAGTAACCTCGTAACCGAGTACAGATTTCTGAAATTCACGTCGAACTATAATTTTCATATGAAAATATACAATATTACCCAAAATAAAGTAAGGGGTTCAGACACTGCATAGAAGTAAGTGAATATAGAATTTTCAAACCTATAAGATTATTTCTCACTACTTTTTCCTCATCCAACTGAATTATGTCAGTTATAAGTTTTACTGAGTAGCACAATTAGAAATAAAATGGGTTACTCATTGTGTACAGGAAACAAGGCTGTGACACGAAATTTTATATACACAATAAGCTGTTCTCTAAAAAAACAAATTCAACATTTACATTGTCGATATACCGTTGGTTCAAAGTCGAGTAAATAAACCTGTGCTTGATGAGTCACATAACTGAATAGCGCTCGTGCTTCTTCTTTACGCCAACGGGACACTAAATTGCTTAGGACGAACAATGAATGATTTATTTGCATTCATAATTAACTCGGTTTATACTAGATAGTCAGCATGAACTATTCTACAATGCTTCGACACAAATCAAGAATATGTGGTTCGTCTGACTAGCACATGTATTAGTCATCAATTAACAATCGGTTAAGTAAAAGGGGTAGGGGAATATATATAGCACATCTAATATTTGTTAGACTATCTACCAGTCTGTAGGTGTCATTACCAAGGTTTGATTTGATAATTTCGAATAAATTGAGCATTGGGTTGATTGTTATAAATAAAAATAATATATTTGTAATATCCCAATGAGTAGAAAATTGGATTTTCTGACGTTAGTTAGGATACCATTTATTTGAACATAAATATTGGTACAAGAGGGGCATAAAATATACATGCGCCACACAAAGATATCATTAATATACGCAAGTGTTTAACAATCGCTGACATAGTTAATACTTTTACTATCTTGAGGAGACTACATATCATTATGTGCTTAATAATAGCGGAGTCAGTTGATACATTAAATCCTGGGGTCGCTCACTTAAAAAGGCAATGCAGAATGAGTGCTAGTTACACATTACTCCAACACATACTACGTAGTTGAATTTAGAAGTGCTCCATATTTGATATTTTAACTTAGTCACAAACCTACCGCTCATCGTTGCAAATGGTGACCTAATGTTGTCCTTATCCCGTAGAGCTTCTCATTTTTTAATTTTTGATTGAACAAAATGACTTATTTCTGTAAGCATGTCTTTTTCCAGACACACTATACAACAGTTGATAATGTGACGAAAATAAGCCAACAGAAGATAGTGGGACATTAGCGCCGGAATGAAATGATATAATGTCATTACTGATTACTAAACACTACTTAAGAACAAATAATGAGCTAACCAAACGATAGGAAAAGAAAGTCGCTGAAGATGCATTGATTTATTTAACAAATAGCATTAACAGTAGAATTTTTAAAATTAACAGCAAGATCACCGTTCTGTAAAGATAAAAGAAAGGGGAGAAAATAAAGAAACAAGGCCACATTTGTCAAAGTACTCACATTGCTGTTGAACACATAATTGAGTCTGTGAGTGGTATTAGCAATAGTATCAATAAAAATTAATGATGATAAGAATAATATGGAGATAATAGTAAGGTTTGTAAGGAATCCGACCAACAATTTTGCTGATTTTTCCATAACAAGTTAAATCAATAATAAAAGGACGAATCGGCAAAAGGACTCAGTTTTCACAGTAGACAACAACGTTTGCTCTTACGGTCTGTTGGAGGTCTTAGAGCAGCAAGGATAGCTTCGTCGAACACATCTTTCAAACCTTTCTGTACAATTAGGAAAACGGAAAAAAATCAATAGCACGTATGTAAATTAACGGCAAATAAATATATTTTTAGTTGATAGTATGACTGTTTGAGTAGAACTTGTTTTAATGACGAGGAAATTTAATCGGAAATTAATGCTGTAAGTCAATATTGATGAATAGCCCATCAGGAACCCGAAAATTTTAATTTGGATCAAGTCGCTGACTGTTCAGCTAACAATGATGATGAAAAAAGTGAAATAGGTATCGCATAGAAACGGTAGTAATTATGCAGAGATCAGTAACGGCAAGTAATTACGTTGACGAGAACAACAGCTCTTCACTAAAGATCGAACTATTGGAACCTACAGTAAAAATGTTAGCAAGATGTAGATTGGATTAATGCATGTTCCATCCGGAGTGATGTTGGGACATTTTTAGTCAGTCACCACCAGAAGACCGTAGAATATTCTTGAGTATAAATGAAAAGTTTACCGAGTTTTCACAATGTGATTGTTACTCCCACACAACTTGATTTAAAAACAAAGAAAATTTTCTTTATTGAATTCTTATTTTTATGCACTGACGTGATTTGTTTGGAACATAATCTAATTCCTGCTCAACCGTGAAATGATTTTCAGGACTAGTCGAGTGAAATTAAGAACACTAAGTAACAAGTGTAACTGAGTCATACAAAGTAACCTTAACAAAGAAGTACAATCAAGCAACAGATTTTAATCCAACTACTCACCACTCTACCGCTCTACAATGTTTGAGATATTATATCCCCTTAGTACGGAGGAAAGAACGTAAAATAGCAACGTAATGACAAAACGAAGTCAAGATATTCCTCTGCGCCTAACCCCAGCAAACTAGAGGAAAAAGGCTAGAATCAGTATGGAAAATATTTCAATTCCACTAGAGGCCCGGAAGAACAAGCACTTAACTCACGCGTAATATGTACAATACAAAAATTTCCTTGAAAAGTATCACGAAATAGAGAACTAAAAAAGACAAATCAATGGTGTTTAAGATCCTTCAGGTGGGAAACAAACTGAAGCTACTAATGAACGCTTTTCGAAAGAAAGTGAGAAATTTAAATCTTCACAATTAGGTTACAAAATAGAAATTTTATCAAGTTATTTCTAGGGATCTAACATACCAAACATGCTCCGTATAATACACTGTTGACCTTCAATCAGTGTTAACCATCAATATACACAACTGATAAAATGTTATCTAAGATTGAACCTATCATTGGTTATCCTCAATACTTCAGAAATGATAACATGGATCCCAACCGTAGCTGCTACCTTGATATGGTAGTCGGGCTTGCCTGTCGTGATGACTCAAGTGAGCTATGTTGGATGGAAAGCTTGTTACTTAAGGTCCTACCATGCCAAAGAGATTGGTTGAAGTTCCCTAAAACCGAACGCAGCAACTCGGGGTAAGGGGTAAAATTGCATTGTTAGCTGTAGAAGGAAATATTGTGGCGAAGGAAAAGGCTTGAGAATGCTACAGTGCTGGATTCGCGGTCAGCTTATTAGCAACTGTCTATAAAAGAGAGCGATCGAAACAAGACAGTATTTGCTGTACGTGATAAACAGTATCAATATAAACAAATGCCTTTTGAGTTGGCGAGTGTACCGTTTACGTCCAGAAGATTAATGACGCTGGTGCTCAGGGATCTAGATAACGTCGAGGTGTATGGCGACGATGTAGTTGTATACAGCCATACAGAAACAGATCACGTCAAGCATGTGGAAGCGGTCGTAAAGCGAACCGAAGGATTTGGTTTTCGAATTATTAAGGACAGGTCACAGATAGCGAAAAGCGTCATGTTGTCAGAACATGAAGTGGAAAATGGAGAAATAAAATCACTGCCTGAGAAAATTTTAACCATAAAGAACATTGCAGTACCTAATTCGAAAAGGAAATTGAGATAGTTCCTGGGAAAGGCGGCGTTCAACAGTTGGTACGCTAAGAGCTCCAGCGAAATAGCAGAGCCCCTTGTTGGGCAACACTAAGTTTACGAGGACTGGGACCGCCCAACAGAAAAAATTCTAGACGACCACCAGATGACGCTCAAACTGCTTGAACCCAAGAAACCGTTTACAGTGACCGAAGTGGTAATCAAGCATATTGTAGCGTGTCATTATATTACCCGACCACGGTCCCTGTTTTGAAAGTGACGAGTTTAAACCCATATAAAGCAGTCTGGCATCAAAAGGATACGAACTACACCGTATCACCCTCAGAGGAACGGGCTTATGAAAAGAAACAACCGAACTTGAAAAAAATAGTCAGCCTCTATAGGAGGAACTTGGAAGAATGAGTTATCAATTATTTTGCTGGCGCACCGAGCCTCCATACAAAGAACAACCAAGTCACCCTTCCTGCTCATGCATTGTAGATAGCCACGACATCTTATGCACAATAAGACCTGGTCACAACAGCATAAGAGGACGGCAACAAGGTTAAGAAAAGGGAGGCAATCAGGGACGTGGGAAAGAAATATCAGATACAAAGAAGGCGGGATAGATTTCTGCAGCGGAGAACCTGGTAAAGTGTAGAAAACGGGAAGGTACCATAGCAACGAGAAAAGGATCAGGGAAGCTGATCCTGAAGTGGGTCAATAAAAAAATCAAAGAAGACGGCGGTACGAGTATCCTTTACTCTTATTGGTCACGTTTCCCGGCCGTAAAGTAAAATGGAACGAATTACGGAGAAGTGCACTCGTCCTTTTACTAATAGATGGATATCTCGCCTTCGCCATAAGTGACGTAAGTTGGCAAAAGCCAAACGAGCTTTCTGAATCCATGCAGAGATTTTGTCAGACACAAACCCATTGAAGTTGATCAGATTTCTAAGATAAGTGGAGTTGTTAACGCAGGTCAGTCTTGAAGAAACAATTTGCATTTTGAGGGGGAGAAACGCAATTCGAAACTCCTGGCGTTGTTTCATAACGCTACCAAAAGACTGCGTTTTACCAGCGTCTTCAGCAAACAGGATTATGTCATCTGTATATTCTAAGTTAATAGTCGGAAGAAGATCAATTCCTGAAAATTCAAATGATGAGAAAGTTATTACCAGCAGTAGGTCTATGATGAAATTGGACAGCCTTGTCGGACATCACTTGAGGTTGCAAAATCAAGTGACAGTTCGCCACAGGCTCTGATTCGACTGGTAATGTTCGAGTAGAGAGTCTTTACAAGGTTTATGTACTTCTCAGGTACAACTTTCAGTGATAGACACTGACACAGAACCTCTCGATATACAGAGCCAAATGCTGCTTTCAAGTCAAGATCAAGATGGTGAATATGTGGTTGATGCAGCCACGACCAGGTATGAAGCCAGCCTGATTTTCTAGCATTTGAAGTTCACGAGTCTTCGTTAGGCGTCCGATAATAACTAAGACTAGTATTATATATGCTAAATTAGTCAAACTGATTCCTCTATGGTTATCACTGGATGGTTTTGATCCTTTCTTATACATTGGGACGATCAGTGATTGCGACCAACCAGATGGGATTACGTTTAGTTCTCATATTTTAGCTAAAACATTAGTTAACCTTACCGTTAAAACTCGACCGCCATCCTTGAAGACCTCTGGAGCCAATCCATCCGGAACAACTGCTCATCATCGTTTCAGATTAGCTATAGCTTTTTGATCTTCGATTACAGTCGGGGGGGGGAACGCTATTTCATGTTCCATTCAGGCTGTTTGAAAATGGTGGGTAACTGTAGATTAGCTGAGGGTCGGCTCCTTAAAGTGTTCCGCCCGTCGTTCTAAACGTCTGGAATGAGGGCAGAAAAGTGTCGTCTTTTCCCGATATTGACTAACAACTGACTTCTTAATTCCGGTTTGTTTTATTAGCCTAAAAAGCTGTCTAGTATTACAAAATTTACACATAAATAATAAACTTTACATGTTAAGTGTGATAACCGAGAAAAAGAGTTGTAAACAGACTAATGTTGTTAAGATAGTCGCTCAAGTTAGTTATTTCACGAACAATAAGACTACTTAAATGTAAGAACAGTTCAACAAGGTCACATCTAGGCTGGAACTAGATTAAAAGTAAACGGAAATCAACCAGTGGAATTATTTTTTCAAGTGTCTTATCGTCTTAGCTTTCAAATTTGATGGCTAATTACCAAACAATCATCACAAAACTGTTTACGAGACACATGATATTCATCACACATAAAAAACAAATCTAATGTATGGATAAACTAGAAAAACAAAAGCTGACCTGGGTAAGAGCTGAACACTCCTGATACTTGACGGCTTTTAAACGTTCGGCGAGTTTTTTACCCTGATCACTACTGACCATTTTCGCTTTGTCGTTATGCAAGCGGGTTATTGTAGCGCCTTCATCGCGAAGATCAATTTGTGTTCCAACAAGAAGGAATGGAACCTTGGGCGAGTGATGTCTTATTTCCGGGACCCACTGGGAATAAAAAACATAGTGCTTATATAGACTAAGACAAGATAGCTTGCATGAAGATAAAACACTGTAAGCAAAGTACCTGATGAAAACGTTTCTGATGAGCTAATGAATGACATCCCGTGTCCTTGTATGGTAAAAGGAAAATGAAACCTACAAATACGATGTGCAAGCCACTTTACATCACAGCAGTGTACTTATAGTTTCATATCACCATTTAGTCGTGGCCAAGATGAAAGTGACGCGGAAAAAACACTGGACAAACAGCATTACAAAAGTTTAATACAGCCTTTCTTTGAGATACTGAAAAACTCGGCGAATTAAGATCACACTCAAAAACAGGTTTCAAGCCCACAGGCCGAATACACAAAAGCAAACAAGCGAGTGACAAGGAGAATTACATATATTAATCAGAATTATGTGGAAGACCTAACAATGGAAAAACTACAAGAGTAGGGGATATAAGGCAATTATATGATATAACGAACAAACTAGGCGGGAAATATAGTAAACCAGAGCGATCAGTCAAGAACGAAGAAGGCAAACAATCCCCGAGATTCAAGAGCACCAGATGAAGAAGTAAAGACTGACAGAAGTAATGGCCAAGATGCTCTACATTCTCTACAGAAAGATTTGAGAGAAAGAACAAGTATCGACACGGAAAAAACGATAACTCATTAAGATATTAAAGAAAGGAAATCTCAGAAAGTATGAGAACGACAGAGGCACCGCACTACTCTGAGTACCTGGCAAAGTTCTCAACGGTGGTGCAGAGCCCAACTTCGGGATCGACAAGCTGGATTCCGTAAAATAGCAACACTAAGGATCATTGTTAAACAACCAACTAAATAGGACTCATTACTACAGAAAAAAGTTGCTTGACTATGAGAAAGCATGCAACAGCGTGCATAATAGAACCATATAAAACCTTCGACACTTCTGTACCTGAGAGTGTCACCGCTATACACAATGCCTGCAACGGCTCACATTGAGGATCTGATGCAGATATGAAGGGACAGACTGGCAAACCAAGGACAGCATTCCTACATTCGAAGAACATCTGGAACTCGAAGTAACTATCAGCCAACACCATAGCCAGAATTTTTAACACAAAAGTCAAAGTGGTCCTACTGTACAGTGCTTAAACTTGAAGAACTGCTACAATCATAATAAAAAATCTAAAGGTAATAATAGAAGGCTGTCTACGTACGATACTCCAGATCTGTTGGTCAAGCACTACCAATAATAACCTACTGTTGGAGAGTAAACCAACTTCCAGATAAAGAGGAAATCAAAGGATGAACAAAACACATTGGGGAAATCATTAAACTGCATCACAAAGCAAGCCCTAAAGGGAAAAGGAAGAGAGAGAAATCAGACAAAACAGTGCGATGAGAATTAGAGACAGATATAAATGAGTAGCACTTGACAAGAACTAAAAACGAATCCAGGTTAGAGAATCCTGGTCGGTGGCCCCTGCATCGCGAGGACTGAAAGACGTAAGTAGATGTACTTACTAAAAGAATCGACAAACGGATCCTATTTTATTTATTTGAACACAAATATTGGTACAAAAGGGCACCAAATATATATGCACCATAAACGGATCCTACGAAGAACAGATCAGTGGGTGCTTGACAAATAGCCAGATAGTTCAAACATATTCAACATTTGTGATGCCCGTATGGAATCGTAAGTATTCGTATTATCAATGTGAAGTCTATCCTAATGCATTATTTGCATAAAATTATTGATTTGGTTGCCATTCTAATGTACAGCAATTCACTGCTTACATCAACACTCAGATGAATGATATTTTTTAGTGCTGATATAACAGAAAGTCATCATATTAACTTCTTTGAAGCACTACTTGTACATGAATGAACCACTAAGTGTGCGAAATTGATGATAGTTGTAGTGAGAGATAAATTCTGAGGATCATTATTGGGACTCAAAACAGCTCTCAACCAGTATCAAAGTCAGAATCTTCAATACGAACGTCAAGACAGTTCAAACTTGGAGGACTACCACAACCATCATCATGGTAGAAGTATTTATAAATAGTTTTCTTCGCAAGATACTCAACATCTATTCGCCGGATACCATCCGTAACAGCATACTGGAGGAAGGAACAAACCAGCTCCCAGCTGAAGAGGAAATTAGGAAAAGATGGCGGAAATGGATAGGACATACATTACGAAAACCACCAAACTACATCACGAGACAAGTGGTAACTTGGAATCCTGAAGGGAAGCGGAAAAGGGGAAGGTCAAAAAACACATTACGTCGGGAAATAGAAGCAGGTACGGAAAGGATTTCTTGGGACAGGGTTGGATGGAGAATGCCGGTGAGCGGCCTATGCTCCTCCACGAGGAATAACAGATATAAGTAAGTCATTAACGGACTTGGTTGTAAAAGCCCAATCAACACTTTAGTCTCACCAGTACTCATACAATTGTAGCTCAAAGGCGAATACAAGCACTTGCAGTCAGTTTTTCTCTCCAATTATCCACTAAGCGCTTTAAATCAATGTATATATAACTTACTTTTAGGACGTTAAACCAATACCTTAAATAATATCCTTCAAAATGAGAAAAAAATCTAGACTGATATCGTTACTACGGTCAGTCGAATGTTAGGTAAACACATAAAAGTCTTATAAGGGAGAATGATAATCGAATAAAGACACACCTTTTGGAACAAACGATTATGTCAAAATAAAGACTCAGCCTACATTTGGGGCTACATATGCAGGGATATTGAGAAGCATCAAAGGACCATGAGACTTCTTGTTGCGTCTTTATAGAACAAAAATGGTTTATCATTAAAGCTCCGCTGATCGACTGAATGGTAATGTTGGAGTAGAATTCGAAGAGTCAAGTAGTGAGACAACAAAGGTGACTAAAACATATAGTTTAGAACAATTGTGCGCATTCGACCAAATGGAAGAACTACCAACAAGTAAACTTCCTGCAAAGTGTGTGGCTGGATTTTTCTTGTAATCCCTGACATTAGTTTGTGTAATTACGGTTTAACTATAATCTATTAACGAATCAACCAGATCTAAGATAGCGGGTCTTGAAATTCGTTGTGAACTTCACTCGTCCATGGGAGCACATATCATTTCAGCGTTATAGCTGATATCAGGTTGTGACGAAAACCCTAATTTTATTTCCTTACCCTAATGTCCAACAGTTAATCCTAATTAAATCACAAGATATTCTTACGTATCACTGACTGATAATTAAGGCAAATGAGAATCTAAGAACATTAAGAAGGCAGTGGTATTAAAAATAAAAAATAAAACTGTAGTTTTACCTTTTCCTCGACGTTCACGAAAGAGGTGGAGTTGACCACAGAAAAGCAAATAAGGTAAACATCCGTTTGAGGATAACTAAGGGGCCTCAAACGGTCATAATCTTCTTGCCCAGCTGTGTCAAAAAGTCCCAAAGTGTACGGTTCCCCTCCAACCATAACAGTTACAGCATAGTTATCGAAGACCTGTAGGTATTATAGCAATATAACCAGTGATCTTACAGTTGGAACATAATCCATCGGAAATTTGTTTGTGGTGTACGATATAAGTAAGCACGTTTTCCCAACGGCCCCATCGCCAACCACAACACATTTAATAGTTCGCAAGTTATCAGTCATTGGAAAACAGAATGCAGATTGAAGATGTACAGACAAAGTTTAATTTCCGCCATCAAAACACCTTGAAACAAACTAACAAAGAAATAATAGAAATAAAAATATAGTATTAGTCGAGAAACTTTTGGATAAGTGCGTATATATTACGGTAACACAAAATGATGCACAAACTTACATGGCGGGAACTACAAAAGCACGCCAAATCGGCAAGTTCTGATATAATTTTATTTTACATGTTATCTTACGTTGTTTGTTTCGCGATAACCATAAATCAAATAAATCTATTTGTTTACCTTAGTTTTAAAACTTCCATCCATCTCACCATGCTTGATTTCGAGGAAAATTTCGTTATAGATCTGTTTGTATATTATATGAAGATCGTTACTGTATTCACGGTGCTTATTTAGTTCTACAAACAATTGCTAATTTGACTTCTATACAACCATCTGTTAGTTGACCTTTAATATTGAGAATTTGTTTGGTCATAAAAGATCTTTCAAGCCGTAATAATCATTGGGCATTCAGATTCGTGTAGTAAGGTGAGATGACTTACGACCTCTGCTATTCCTTCTCTATTATGCTTCTGTGAGTGTTTATTCTTCTTTAAAATAAGGCACTTTAGGGTGTATACATCACTATCCCGAGTAAACGGCTCCAAGTATCGATGCGTGTGGAAACATGTATGCCATGGGTATTCTGTCCGTTCTGGGCTTTTCTACTCACCTGCAATGTCTTGATCTATTGAGAGAAAAATGAGAAGATATTATCAGGTCTAAAATCACTTCTTATTATTTTATACGTGAAAATCATATTACCTCTTAACCTGCGGTAGGGTAGAGTAAAGACGTCTAGCTTTTCATACCGCTCTTTGCATAGTAAACTCTGCAGTTGCACGAGTAGCTGCCCTCTGTACGTTTTCCACGGTATACGAGTTACCTTTTGAACGGGGGCTTGTAGCCTGAACGCAGTTTTCAAGCTTAGCTACCACTAAGGTTGCATATACTGTAGTGAACATGGTAGTTTTTAACTTGGTGAATATGTCTTAAAGCCCGTAGGGTTCTAAACTCCCTAGTTACAACCTCCTGGCAATGGGTCTTGGCCATAAGCTGACGACTCATTGTCGCTTCAAGATCCTTGTAAAACCGGACCACAGGTACAAATACTTACCTTATGTTGTACATATTAACTTTTGTATCCCCGAAGTGCATGCAGACGCACTTTGCCGCGTTGATACGCACCAGTCTCTCTTTAGACCAGTTAATCACAATATTTAAGTCTATGAAATGCACATAAATTTGCCTCTTGTTATTTCTAGCCAAACTTGTAGTAACATTGGGGATTCAACTATACTTGGGGGCTAATTTACGTACAGTAGAAAAAGTAGAAAACCTATGACCGAATCTTGCAGTAATCCAATAAGTACTGGTTACCAGATGAAACACTTAGAATTTACCCTTAATTTCTGTCTACGACCTACTAAAAGTCCTCAAGCCATTTTATGAGGGTCCGGCAATACCAAGATTTTCCAGCTTCGATAGCAGTCTATTTGTCGGCACTGTTAAATGTGTTGCTTTAGTCTATGTAGAAAACACCCGCTGATTTTCCATTCTCTAGAGCCTCTATCCATTGCCTCCTTGCTATAAGGAGGTTTGTTGTGCAAGATAAACCTTTTCTGAAACCATGTTTTTCACTTAGACATCGTAAATTAACAATTCTGTGACTGTGTCAGTTGTATATTTTCTTTGATAATTTAACTCGATTGGGAAATAATTTATGCGAATACTCGTCAATGTTAGAACGAATGGTTTGACATAAATTGGACGCCGAGTATAGAGAAGTCACTATAGGTGAAATTTATATTTGCCTGAACACCGATTACCACGTCGTGCAATGCTAACGGGTGTTAGAGATGGTTGGAAGAGAATTAGGGGCGGCCAAACCAAAACGTGCATCAGTGCTTGAAGTCACCAACTTTTGGTCTTAGCCATGTTGGTAGGTTCAGGCTACTTGGTCGGGATCCGCGCAACTATCGTAACGAGTGGTTGGAGACTCTGAGTGACATGACTCAAAATCAATCACAATGGCGTCGGTGTATATACTCCTTGTTTTCCTTTAAACCCTGAGATTAAAATTTTTACACCTTTGTTTTTACTAACTAATTCTTTCTTCCTGTATCATATCCGTTTATGCAATCTTTCATCTACATATCATTACCATTGAAGTAACTGCTTTATGAATTCGGTGTTGATCTTGTTGTGCTTATGAGGTGTGGTAACTTGGACCGATGCATATATGTGCCTGCTCCTACGTTGTAGCTGACTGATATCATTCTCATCTGGTAACTTTTCTAAAATCTCAGATGTACACATACAAAACAGTAAATTCAGTCAATCGCTTAGCAGTGGACATTGTGGTCAATTAAATACATTAATTATGTGTCGTTTAAAAGTTGTTCAGTTTTCATCATACTTTATCAAGCTGGAGAAACCTGCAGTGTATAATATTAGTACTTTTGAATATTTTATTTCTTTGTGTTATTGTTATAGAGGAGAGGCTTACATCTATGAACACGCTTGATTTTACTGGACTGATGACTAGTATGGTGATCAAAGAGTGATGTAGGGTACTGAATTATTGCGATTTCTTTTAGAGCATAACTTCGTTATTATATTATCGTGGCAATTACGGGACATTAACACTAAAATAAACGTTATTAACACTCGTTTGAAACACTAGCAACTGTACAATATGTATTTGAAAGGTCATTCATAAATTAATCATTTCCAAACCTGGGCGTCACGTTTGGTTTTTGTCTATTCTAGTCACTGTATTTTTATACACATTTTATATTTTGGGATTTCTGATACACCTTATATACCGTATAAAATTCGCATTCAACAGATGTTTTTTTTTATCTAAAAATAGATTTTTGTGATTTGTCTTGTTCTGTTTGAATTACTAATGAATTGCAAAAACTTTCCTTTTGACTATTTAGAGGCATTAAAATGCATGCTCAATCTAAACGCCCCTCCAAATTCTTCGGACGGACCGCAATGGAAAGTAAGCCTTCATAATTGCTCTAAACTCTTTTATGTTAATATAGATCTTGATATACGATCAACTGGGAAGAGATATCATCTCACCGTTATTAACAGTCAAAGATTTACGTATGCTTGGTGTCACATTACATTTGTAAGTGATAATACTGAATATAAATAATTATACTTGTCAGAATGTTGCACTCGCCACGTGAACAGATCCCAGATGTTCCCGCTGTTTATTTCGTTTACCCTTCCAAAGATAATATTAATGTTATATGCAAGGTTGGTATGATTTTATATTTAAGACTTATTGTTCAAAGGATTTTGAAGCAGGTAGATATGATTCATATTACTTGAATTTTATCAGTCCAATATCACGCGAATACCTTGAAGAAATAGCTCAAACAGCATTATCTGAAAACTGTGTTCATCAAATTTCAAAAGTTTTCGATCAGTATACAAATTTTATTTGTTTGGAGGATGATTTATTAACTCTTAGCTCACCTACTGATGGTCCTTCTTCTTTTTATGGTGAGTTTACTATCTCATATGTAACACATTTGTTCTATATAAATTAGTTGACGTGTTTGCTTTGTGTTCAGTGTACATTTATTCGATATGACGGTCATTACTGGATAATGATGAATTACCTTCTGATTATTAATTATATACGTGATTTATTCATTTGTCAGTTTATGTGTAGCTTCGATCCAAACAATCTTTTGTGTGTAAGTAGTATATTAAGTTTGGTAAAATATACGTATACACCCAGTTTGCTAGCGGCTATCTTGAAATCGATTTTGATGCTAATATTACATATACCCTAGTATTATTGTGATCTGCTTATTGAAAATATCACCTTTTAAATATGGCCAAAGCTTATGATTGCAACACCGTAACATAGAGTCACTCATTAACTGATCAGGCTGATGCAAACAATCAAAATTGTGCATAGTTGTCAGTTTTTCCTTCCATATTATTGTTCGTATAAGCCCTTGGAAATGTCCAAATAATCCTTAAAATGTTGTCATTGTAAGGTTATACAAACTACCCTGATAGGATGTAGAGAAAGATGACTTACATTATCGTGGCTTGGAGCGATACCACTTTTTACCCTTACTAAATTCCGTAGCTGATCAGCACGTAAATGTAGGCTGATGGTAAATACACACCTGTATCCATCCCTATAGGCTATATTCGTAAGCCGATAAAATAAACTTCTGAACTCACTTCAAAAGATGTCATGTCTCTTATTTGCGATTGTCAAGTTATGGTGACTAGTTCAGCAAAGTGTTCGTCAATGTGATCAAGGTTATCAGAACTGTAGTTCAAATAAATCTTATTGTATCATATTTATGTATCGGGTCTTAATGCCCTTTAAAAGTCAAGTGCCAGAATTATTTACTTACGATGTCACATGAAAGAACTAAGACGGTTTTTGAAATTCTAGGTTTTATTCGTTTGTGACATGTGTAGGATATTTATCGAAAGTTGATTTCTATAAACCTGGTTATATAATAGGGATAAATAAAGTTAAATGACATCACCCATTCACTGGAAGTATCCCATAATAGCTTATATTTATGCGACATGCATCGCATGTGGATTTTCAAAGCATATCAATTTTTTCCGTACCAGATTGATTGACATTGTCTTCGCATTTGATATTTAGTACTCTTGTACTATCTTTTATTTACCATTTCGTTTTACAGCTCTTAATCGTGCGAAAGCTACAGAAGTGGATATGGAAAATTTAATTCATTCAGTTGTTGATGGATTATTTTCAATTTTTGCGACACTTGGCTCAATACCCATTATACGTTGTCCTCGTGGTAATGCTTCTGAAATGGTAGCATGCCAGCTGGATTCGAGATTTCGTGATAGCCTTCGAGATTCTAGAAATTCACTTTTTATGGATAATACAGCACGCGGTTATGGTATCACTACAAATGACGATTCGTC